AATAAAAATGTATATTTTATTTATATATTTTTTAATTTTCAGTTTTATTATTTATATTATTATATTATATTATTTATTATATTATTATATTACAAATAATCATTTAAATATTTTTTTATATTCTTAGAAGTTTATAATATATATAATTATGATAAGTAGAGATAATAAATTATATAAAATTGTTGTTAAACAATTTAAAGATATGAATATGTAAAATAATATATAGTAATATTTTCTCAAAAGTTATATAAATATAAATAAGAAATTATCATTGATTAATTGTTTTTATATTTAGATTACATGAAGAAATTGAAGATTTTTTTGCTTATATGTGTCCCTCTAATGAAGAACATAGTTTACGAATACGTGTTGTCAAAAGGATAGAACAAGTAATATATGATCTCTGGCCAGATTCTAAGGTTGAAGTATTTGGCAGCTTTCGTACTGGTTTATATTTACCTACAAGGTACGTATCATTGTACATATTTAAAATGGAATGTATTTAGTGACATGTTTACATGTAAAATATATAGGTATCTTTTAAACAAATTAATTATTATAATCTTATAAGTAAATAATATTACTTTTTAATTCATATATTATGATGAATAATCTCTCTAATTATAATAATAATAATAATATAATATAATAATAACAATAATAATAATAGTAATAATAATAATCTTTCTCTATTTCTTGCTCTTTTTCTATATATATTCTTAATTATTATTAAGAAATTTTTCAAATATGTAAAAAATTTATTTTCTCTTTTAGTGATATAGATTTAGTAGTAATAGGAATGTGGACAAATCTTCCATTACGCACTTTGGAACGTGCTTTATTGGATCAAAATATTGCTGAACCATCATCTATTAAAGTTTTAGATAAAGCTAGTGTTCCAATTGTCAAGTTGACTGATAAAGAAACTGAAATTAAAGTAGATATCAGTTTTAATATGAATAATGGTGTTAAATCTGCAGAATTGATAAATTCTTTTAAAAAGAGGTTTCCAGTACTAGAAAAGCTAGTTATGGTATTAAAGCAATTCTTGTTACAAAGAGACCTGAATGAAGTGTTTACTGGTGGAATCTCATCATATAGTTTAATACTTATGACTATCAGTTTTTTACAGGTAAAATATTAATATTTTTATTTTAAAAACATAAATAAGAATTTATTACATAAATTTTCTATCAAATATAGAATATGAACGTAATATTTATATATATGTTCTATAAAATTTATAATTTATATAAAAATAATAAATCTTTTTTAAAATAAATAATTTATTTTCTTATACTAATAAATTTTTATTTTAGTTACATCCTAGACAAAATGCTTATTGTTCGAATGCTAATCTTGGGGTGCTGTTAATAGAATTTTTGGAATTATATGGTAGAAAATTTAATTATGTTAAAACAGGAATTCGTGTAAAAGATGGTGGTACTTACATATCAAAGGAAGAGGTAAGTATATAATATAAAAATATATAAAATACATAAATATATTTATATATTTTAAAATATATAATATATAATACAATAATATATATATAATAATAATATAAATATATTTATATATTTAACATAAATTTATATAAATATAATTATATAATATATAAATATATAGTTCAATAAATAATATTGTAAATTTAAATTTAAAAAAGTCTAATTAACATGAAAAAATGCTATTTTTTTTTAAAAATAAATAACAAAGTATTTTAAAAATAACAAATGTTATATAATCATTTTAGACATATATATTATTATATAATTTATATATTATATAATTTATATTATTATATAAAAAGTTTGAAGAAGAATTTAAAAATGAACATTTATTTTAGAATTTATCAATTTTACTTAAAATATATATTATATTACAATTAATATAGTAGTTAAAAATTGATCAAATAAATAAAAAATTTACTTATTAATTCTTGAATGGAATTAAATTATATTTTATATTAATTTTAGGTTCAAAGGGATATGATAGATGGCCATCGACCTTCTTTATTGTGCATAGAAGATCCACTTACACCAGGAAATGATATTGGTCGTAGTAGTTATGGTGCTCTATATGTAAAAGATGCATTTGATTGGGCTTATTATGTCCTTTCACAAGCAGTTAGTCCTTTAAATATATTAGTTAATGATGCAAATAAAGTAAGGTAAGATTATTTATAATATTTATATATTATTTATATATTTTATAATTCTATTGATCATTATTTAAATATATATTTTAATTAGTATACTAGGAAGAATAATTCGAGTGACAGATGAAGTAATAGAATACCGCAAATGGATTAAAGAAACATTCCCACTACCTTTGAGTGAAGTAGATTCATTGTCAAGTTCTACTGGTTCTGATGCTTCAACACTATCTGCTCCAGCTAGTGATACGGTAAAAAATTTTCAAAATATAAAGAAAATTAATTATATTTTCAACTATTTCTAATATGTAAATTCAATTTTATTAGGATTCTGAATGTAGTCGTGGAAATTCTCCTAACACTAGTGGAAAGGGAGAAGATAGAAATAAAGAAAGACATGTATATAATAATCAGCATACTCATCATCATTCACAATGGAAAAAACCATTTAAAGCAACTGCTCATGGTATGCATATTTTATTATATTTAGTATTATGTATTTTAATCTACAAACAAAAGACAGATGGAAATATTTTAACATATTTAAATAATTAAAATAACATCAATTAGTGAACATCAACTTTATACTTTAAAAGTTCAAATTACTTTAAAAACTTAATATTTAATATTTCTTACAGGTAATCACCATCATAATTCCAGAGGAAATTATCATCATCGTGGAATAAATAATAATAATATAAGTGGACAAAGTAAAGCAAAACACTCTCTTCATAGTAATGGAAGTAATAATAATAGCCATAGTCCAAGTTCAAGGTCACAAACCGTTAAACGAAAAAAACATTGTATTACACCTCGTACTGGAGATTGTGTACGGTGATGAAACGTGCAAAATAATGTTGGACTTTATTTCATATTTAAGTAGAGAGCTCAATATCATAATTGTGTGGTGAAAAGACATTGATTAACTTTCATCGCGCAACTAATTATCGTTTCCAATTAAAGGGGCTCTGTGTCTATAATTATGTGGAGTTAACAAACTCTATGTTACTTTTCTCTTACATGAACAAAAAAGAGACCCTGGTGTAGTTAAGTTCTTGATTTCATCAGAAACATTTTTTATTCTGTACGAAAATTTATATACCAAAGACGTACAGAATTGTAATATAAATTGGTTTAATTTTACTTTTATTTTGCATTACTGCACATATTACAAATAATATTTTTAAAAATATGTAATATTTTATTAATTACTGTTTATAAAGTTATAAGCTTACTACAATCTTTGAATAGCAATTGTGTTCATAATCACGGTAAACTCATTGTAATACATTTATATAATACGAACGATATATACAAAGATTATTTACAGTGCAGTTTTCTTAAAGATTTCATGAAATTGTAAAACAAGCTCTAATAATGATAAAGACTTAGTTTTCTATACGGAACTATATTCTTATAATACAAAGGGGTAACAGAAAAATTGGTGATATTGGGACTTACCTATTGTAAATACTGTAATATATATTATCAAACATAGAAAAATAAGTCTAAGAGTTACCTACTACATTTTTTATTTTGTACGTATCTAAAGTAGTGTTTGTTATAATAATTTTATTATTTGAAATCATGGATTAGTCCATGTATGTGAGAATTACGTATTTTTTCTGTAATAATATAAGCAATAGTTGTGAAAGTGTTTTGGTATATCTTTTGGATTTTAATAAAATTATAAATTCGTGTGCTGATGATCAACAAATTTTAAATAAAAAATATTTTTGAAAATATTAACTCATTGAAGAAAAAAATGATAAACTTTAGATTTTTACACTGCGTTCTTTAAAATCGTAATTGTGCATAATGCTTTACTTTTTATACAGAATTACTGATTTCGTAACACTAGTTTATAATTTTTAGTCTCCCCTGAACAATAATACATTATTTTTATATTATAAAAATAATAATAAGCATATACATCATGGTCGAATGTTACACGAATTCAATGCACGAATCAGACATTGCATTTAAACATATTCTTATCTTTAAAATTTGAGCAACATTTCAAAAATTTTATATGTGACAATATATATATATGCAAAAGGCCTTTATATTATTGAAAACTTCAAATGTATATTTGTGAAATTATATCTTATATCTAATTTATTATTGAAAATTACATTCCGTTTTTCAATATAAATTTTCTCAAACTGAAAAAAATAAGAAATGTTTACTAATTAAGAATTTTTGTCCGGACTGCATTTTGTGTTAATGCAAGTTGTAATGATTCAACAATATCTCCTATTAAATTCAAATGCAGAGATAAATAATGCTAGTATTCACTTTCCTTCAAATTCTTATGCAGTATTGTGTAATATTATTTAACAAAACATTGTTCATAGATAATATTATAAACTGTGATTCAATTTTATTATTAGGATGTCAATTACTTGTTACAACATACATATATATACATGTATGTATGATGTATGAATGTGAACAGTAAAACTTGAACTTCATATTTTTAAAGCAATGTAATTATTATTACTGTTGTTATTGTTATTATCGTTAAGTAATCTGCAAAAATAATTAAAAATTTTTTAATTAGAATCAAATTTTCGTAAAAACTTATTATTAACAATTTGTGATTTATGTTTATTTTCAAAAATTATTTAAAATTGTAAAACATTAAAAATATAATAAACAGTAATAACAGGTTTTCTCGAATTATTGTCACATTTTTAATTTTAAATAATAATAAAATGGTTATAATTTATTTTAAAAATTTCATAATATAAAATA